TGGTTTCCTACGTCTTATAATTTGTTGTTTTGGATGGTGGCATCTAATTTGTTGAAAGAGTTTTAATTTGAACTTTTTAGAACTAATAATAAAAATATTTAAATGGAGTTTTAAATTATTTTTTATTGTTGAACTTTAATATAATATTCTTGTTTAATCGTTTGATATTTTAATATTTTTTAAAAATATAGATGTATTTTTGATTTAATGAATGGTTATTAAATCAACTTGAAATTATAGGAAAAAACTCAAATTCAAGCTAAAGTACTCACTCACTCAAGTACTTGTGTTCTTGCTTGAGCTCGCAAGTGAGATTGAACTCACTTGAATACTTACGAGTTTGACCATGAGCTCAATTACTTAAGCTTGAATTATTCTGGCAAGACATAAGCCGCACATTGTTGCATTATAATCAAGAATAATTCTTCTTTTAATTTTTAAGAGATAAAAGAAATACGTACTATTGATAAATGAGTTTGTCTAAAGGTACAAGTTAAGGCATAGGTTAAGGTATAAGTTAAGGTATAGATTAAACATGTATTAAATACATTTTTTATTATAAATTTGTATTAAAAAAATAAAAATTAATTTTTAATTTATCAATTGTCTAATTAAATTCATCTGATAATAAAATTAATATCAATTTTTATGTTTTTTTAATACACATTTATTTAAAAAAAATACTCTTAGGCCTAGAAAAATCTTTTATAAATATATAGAAAAGAGGGATTAGACCTGTTTCCATGGGACATCTCCACATTTGTAAGCCAAAGTTTTAGATTGTTTGAAGAAAATATTATCTAGATGACAAAGATTGTCTTGGACCATTATCTTTGAAACAATCAAGCCCTCCAACCATGGAACTTTTTGGAGCATCTTGTGGAAAATTAATGAGATACATGCACATGCATACGCCTTTCCCCTTGTTCACTGAACATTCCATCCACACATAATAGCGAAATGCTTGAAATTGAACCTCGAAACCTTATTATAACCAATTCTTGGCTGATGGGTTGGAAGCAAACCGTGTAGAAACATCAACATTAAACTTGTCCTTGAAGCATGAATCTGGGTTCTATGTCCGATCCTTGGTTTGGTCAACGAATACATTTGACCAAACCATGTTTCTCAATTTTCTAATCCATGCTAGTTCTTACATGGTGGGGAACGAATACACGCAAGATTGCTTAAGCAGACGTACTATCTGATTATAATTTTCTAGATGTGTACGTGTTTTCAACTAAGCCGGCGTGGAAAATTTAATAAGGTTTTTAATTTCAGGTTTGGTTAAGGACACATCCTCCTCAGTTATAATTAGTTAGGGGTGAGCATTTTCATCCACCGTTTGGGTGGTGACTATACTTGTGAAGTTGTGATTGGGGCTATAGTGTGTAGGGGACCGTTATAGCGCTTTCTTTTGTTCTCTACTAGTTTTTAATGTTGTAAGTTTAGTCACTCAAAGTTTATAGATAATCAAATAGAATAACTTTTTCTTTGGTCTATCAACTTCCTCATGATGTTTTTTTTAGTAGAAGAGGTTTTCTATACTCAATTAACTCATTGCATAGGGCACTTATATTTTTGTATGTTAATGTTTAAGGTAGTAACTTCCTAACATATAAGGCATAAGTCTTAAATATTGTTGATACACTTTATTAGATATGATAAAATTTATAATTTCTATCAAAAATAAATGTCAATGGAATTATCCTATTTCTCAAAAAAAAAAAAAAAGGTATTGGCTAACTATAAACCATTGACCATATGCATCATGCATTTCCTATTTTATAATATCATCAAAGATTACCAAATATATATATATAAGGGGTGAGTGCTTGTCCACCTTACCTCCAAAAAATAAGAGGAAAAAGAATAAAAATCATTTTAATGCATATTTTAAAAATATAATAGTTTAGTCTTTTTTACTAAAAATTTATTAAGACGACGTAATTTTAGAATGATTTTTTTCTTAATCTTTAAGAGATAAGATTGATAGGTACTATTTTCTAAATATAACCTTTCAATCTTACAATATGAAAATTCCGGGGATAAGAGTGCTGAAGTTTATAACATTTCTCAATTGGTATGTGCTTCCATTGCACGGTTCGGAAGATGGCGTAGAAGAGAGAATCAATGATTCTTGAGTCACATTGTTTTCTTTTCTTCTTCAATTCTTTTTTGGTTATGATTTCTGTTTACACCTAGTTATAGGGGACCAACATAATTTAGATCTCATCTCAATCTCCAATACTACCTTGCAGCTGAATTTGCACCCGTAATGCATGAATCTTCAGCTTTTCAGGTTCATAGCTTTGAAATTTTTCTTCTTTTGATGATGAAGAATATTTTCAATTTTCAGAGATCATCCCCTTGTCTTTGACTCTTGATATAGGGTAAAGCTGTAAAGCTGATTTTTCTTAAAAAAAAAAAAAAAAAGCATGCATGGCTAAGAGTAGGAGATATATTACGCGGTGCGGCAATGTTGTGACAAGACATTGCCTATATAAATTTTTAAATATTATATTTTAAAATATTATTTTTTTATAAAAAAATAATTAAATTAAATATTAGTATATGTTATTATTAGGAAGAATTGAACTTTAAAATTTGATGCATTTTACTTGCTGCTCAATTAGCAACCTAATCATCGTTAGACCAAATGGAGGATTGCTTTAAAATATTAATTTTAAGTAGTTTAATTATTAAAAATAATTAATAATTATAATTATTAATA